AATTTATATTGACAGGAAGTGACAAATAGTCAAGATCAGCCCCTTGGGAGGAATGAATTGAAGCAAAGAAATTATTAATGTCATCCAGATTAAAGTTATTGAGGATTTCAGTTTCATTACTGTCATCCCTGCTAGTTTTGCAACAGCCAAGAGACTCGATTACGCTCCATTTCGAACGAATCGAATTGGCTTCACTGAAACTCTTAACTGTTGACTTCTTTTTACTATTGTTAATCAGAGACTTGACCTTCTGGTAGCTTCACGGAACGAAGAAAGTAAAAACGCAGAAACACTAAAACGCAGAAAAATAAACGCAGAAAAAATAACACAGAAAAAAAATCTGAAGAACGAAAGACGAAAACAAAAGAAGCCATAAGAAAACCACAGATTTAATCATCACCAAATTGATATCAGAATTTTTGTGTTTCAAATTTTGTTTCCGTCATTCGTTCTTCAACTCGACAGAGGTTTCTTTTTTTGATAAACTTAACAAAAATATTTTTGTCTTAAAAATCTTAGGAATTTAAAAAGAGATCTCGACTGACATGTTCATCTCAGTGTAACAACATTTAACACTGCTATTGAGGTCAACCATCACGGTTTATCTATCTATTTTACATTTTTCTGCGTTTTTTCTGCATTTTTGTTTTTCTGCGTTTATTGTGCTGCATTTTTGGTTTTCTGCGTTTATTTTTCTGCGTTTTTGTTTTCTGCGTTTATTTTTTCTGCGTTTTTTCTTCTGTGATTTTTTTTCTGTGTTATTTTTTCTGCGTTTATTTTTCTGCATTTTAGTGTTTCTGCGTTTTTATTTTCTTCGTTCCGTGAAGGAACCGACCTTCTTGGCTTTAGCCATATAAACGTCATGTAACTGTTCATGAGTAGCTACATCACGTGCATTGTGTCTCTTACAATTATCATATGCAGCTTTTCTTTCTTCCAAAGCCTGTTTAATATCATTATTAAACCAGTTTTTGGGTGCATGTCGAACGCGACGCGATTTGAGTGGAGCAAAGCGATTAAGGAGACTTATTATATTGTCATTCAGTGTTGAGACCATATCATCAACATTCAGATGATGGTTAAAATTCCAATTCAACAGTTCAATTTGGTCGGTCAATTCGGCAACATCGATATCATTGAATTTTCTACCACTGATGACAATATTTTTATCGATTTTTTCAGTCTTAATATTGTATGAGCACAATAACAAGTCATGAAAAGAAATACCCGATGGAAAATGCCCGAAGAACTTAACGCGCGCGGTGTTATTTGTAAAAATTAAATCTATTTTTGATGGTATTTTTCCCGGCCACCAGTGTGTGGGGCAAATATCATTAATCAGATTGAAATTTAGAGCAAAATTTGAGTTTAAAACGGCACCTAGATTTGTGTTATTTAAAATATTAATATTGAAGTCACCACTAATAATCACGTTCTGTTCGTGAGCAAAAGTAGCGCTTATTAGCTCAAATAATTTACGCGTATTTTCAGCATTGCATCGTGGAGCACGGTAAACAATGCCAAAAATAATTTTTGCAGAACGGGTAAAAATTTCAACGAAAAGAAATTCAACATTTTCGATTTGGGCATTATCCTTAGACGAATTTAGAACTACCTTCGTTTTGAGATTTTTCAAAACATAAATCGCAACGCCGCCACCCTTATTTCTATCACCAGATTTGGATTTGCGATCAGAGCGAATATCAATGGATTTGTTTGTATTGCTGGAGCGTAGCCAGGTTTCAGTGATCGCGATCAGATTAACATTAGAATTTCCGTTCAAAAGCACCTTCAGTTTGTCAAAGTGACATGCATCAAGTAATCCTTGTACATTGACACAGACAAAACCGAAATTGCCCTTGAACCGATTTATAACATTCACCGAATTAATTTTATTTGGGCAATTAATACGATTTAATGAATCTACATCATCGATATTCACGGTCAACATCACATTGGTTTTTTAGTTTATACAGATGCTACAAATAATGTAAAATGTCAAAACACACACACTTGTACGTAGCTGTCAAAATAAGCTACAAGAAACACATTTTTATTGCAGCTCTGCTGTTGCTACAATAATTTGCGGAAAAACCACCTCCACTTTTTCTGTGAGTGTATGAAATATGAAATCTTAACAACAAATAACTACATGTTTGATAGTTTCCTCGCATAAGATCGATAAAATACCGAATTTTATGTCCCCTCCCACCTGGCCAGAAGGTGGACTATCGTCGGAAGAGGTGCATGCGGTTAGTCACAAATGAAATTAAAAGAAATCTACAAAAATGTTAGTATAAATGGCAAACTATGCAAAAGGTCATGCAAAAATGGCCATTATTTCATAGGTCGCTGTGGGACCTAGACTTGACAAACCAGGACTTATGCATATCCGTTGGAAAGGTCTTAAAGTAAGCTCTCGAGTGGTGTCAATTGCGACTTAAAAATTTCATGTGGGGGTAGCCAAATTGCCCAAAAACCAAAAACGGGCATTTTTTCGAAAAAGACTGCATATGTTCTCTTGAAAATTTCATCAATTTAAGCCCCAAGTCGAAGATAAAAAAAAAAAAAGTATCTCACACCACAGAAAAAACCACTTTTCCACATTATGAACCACAATTTAAATGATTTTGATCCAAAAATAACCTAAAAATCCATATTTTTATTGTATTTGAAAAAGATTCAAATTCATGTTTTTTGAATCTTTAACATTGAAAATAGCGCTTACAAAACTATCAAATAAAAAACCTCTATCGAGGTGAAGAACGAGTGACGAAACCAAAATTTGAAACACAAAATTTCTGATATCAATTTTGTGACGAAAATAGTTGGTAGATATATTTTCTGTGAACTGTGAATATAAACTTAATATACATTTGTATATTCGGAACGTTGCTTCATTGCGTCAGTATGAACTCAAAGTAAAAAGGAGAAAGTTTCTGCAACGTTTTGAATATACAAATGTATATTAAGTTTATATCCACAGTTCACAGAAAATATATCTATCAACTATTTTCGTCACAAAATTGATATCAGAAATGTTGTGTTTCAAATTTTGGTTTCGTCACTCGTTCTTCACCTTGATAGAGGTTTTTTATTTGATTTATCTATACATTCTATATATTAATTCATAACTATGCAGAACAAATGAAGGCTTATGATTTTGGGACGGTGGGAATGCGATTGTTTCATTACCATGATGTCCCGTATCAAGCGTTGAAGGTTAATACTTTTTTTATACTTCTCAATTTGAAAATTAACCTAATTTGTGTTGAAATATGAAATAATACAAACACTCAATGTATCAAGTTACAAGCAAGCTCGCATATAAAAGAAAGAACGCACATTAAAGAAAGCAGTCGTTTCTTTGCACTTAGCATAAACAGTCTTGTTTTTATTTACTCTCTCTCCCATTCTTATTCACAGTATATTTTCAGTCCAGCTCAAAAGGTAAACTTTTATCAATTTGAATAAATTTATTTATAGATGTGTCCATGGGAATAAAAGTGGCAATACAAAAACGGAATCTGAAGAACGTTACATAAAAAAAAAATTGTATGGAGTTATACTATGTAAAAAAAAAATTATGTAACGTTCTTCAGATTCCGTTTTTGTATTGCCACTTTTATTCCCATGGACACAGATCTTCAACGATAAACAAATACCATTGATGTTTAATAAATTAACGTCGAAAGTGGTTTTATTGAACCTTCTGTTCAACGACGGAATGTGAGGCGATGTGTTTCACATTATAAAAATGGAGATAGAAAAACAAGAAAAAAAGTACAAAAAATCATCCGCTCAAATGAACTGTCTTGCGTTTGCTGCATCTTATAAGTTGGTAAGATTTCAAAGAAAGATAAATAACGAGAAACGAGAAATAATTTCATTGATTACAGAATACTGAAGTGCATTTAAAATATGGCCTGCAATTATGGAATAAATTGAACAAAGATACACAATTTTTCCAAAGTGGATCATTTTTGGGTTTGTTGGCCATAAATCTGGGTCAGCCAAAATCTGCGTTAGAGATTTTAGAATCCACAAAACAATCACATTTTACACCAGTGTTTATTCGGCTGATTGCACTAGCCGATTGTGGCCACTTTGAAGAGGCAGCAGAACTAATTGAAGAACAGAAAAATGATATACCACAATTCAAAATATACGCTAGCGTGGTGGGTATTTCCATAGGCACACATTCACTCGCTTCCATTCCATTCACTTTGGTTGATTTAAAATATTTTTCTATTTGTCTGTAATTCATTTTCAGGTTGAAAGGATTGGAGAAAGTTTAAAGAAGTACCCAACGACGGAAGAGAAAACAAAGTTTTCAAAATTATTGGATACCATTCCAATTCGTAAATGGAAACATGTAATATAAGTAGAACTCTTTTATATAAAAATATATTAATTTTTTTTACATTTCATATACATTTTCAGAGTATCGATGAATTGGTGTGTTTTCCTATTGCTCCAAGCAGAGGGTTAAGACCACAATATTACTCTCGAAACTATAGAAGTCATAAAATAAAAAAAATTCGGTGAACCGTAATAGAATAAGAGTTCACTTATTCGAAATTTTATAATAAAATAAAAAAATAAATAATTATTCAAGAAATTTTTCGAATCGACAAAAATCATTAGAATTGAATTGTGAACTTGAAGTAATATTTCCGATATTTGGGTCACATTGATACCTATTTGTGGTGGATCACACAGTAAATCTTAACAACAATCAATCGACCTCCATTCGGTGAAGCTAAGAACCATTCATGTTCTCTATTTAGAAAAAAAAACATCCATTTGAGGATATTTAGTTTAGTTTGTTTTTATTTTTTCCGACATTTTTGTTTGAAATATACGCCGGCCACTGTGTTTATCAGATCTGACTTGTAATAGTTAAACAATGTAATTTTTCTTAAATTTAATGTTATTTTGGTATATTTTTTTGTTTATGAAATGTGAATGATTATTGTGGTGATGTGGGAGAATGAGTGCTATGCATCTTCTTTCCAATCGGTTTTACAAGCTGGGCACTTTTTCTTTTTTGCCACATAATTGTTGAAACATTTCTTGTCCAGCACTGCATCGCATTGGTCATTCGGACAGAATTTCGGCTGTAAAATGAAACGACACGGAAAATTATTTGATCTAAAGGCATATATTTTAAATGGCATTCTTTATTTTTATACCTGAAGCACAAGTCCATTGCAAAGAAAACAGCATTGTATAAAATCACCAAATTTCGTTCGATATGTATCACGAAATTCACCAATAGCCCTTGGGCCCAATGTGATTATATCGCCGGTTGCCATGAAATAGCCGATATTCTCCCATTCGTCCAACAATTCTTCGGCCCGTTGTTTGGTGATTTTTTTCGATGTTGCCTGTGACTGAGTGGCTTGCGATGATGTCGAACACAATTGAATTGCCGACATTATTGTGATGGAATGTGTATCGCTCATCAAAATTTTTTCCATGATACTCTTCATGAAATTGCACTCGACTTCACTGGCGATTGGTGATGGACTGAAGTAAAATATTTGTTTATATATAAAAGCACAAAAATGTAAACAAAGTACAAAATATTTAACGCTCTGAACAACACAGTTCGACAAAGAAAATTCCACGGAATGCTTTTCACATATCTTGAAACATATGAAATACCCGGCATTTTAAGAACGAAAAAAAATACAGTTGATATTTGAGTTATGTCTATGTCTTATCGTCGGTTACTTGAAATTTGTGGTGCCAGACTGTGTCGTCACATTGAAACTTACCCAATTGTTGCGAATGTGTTACAAAAGATCAAAAACTCCACGCATACGTCATCCCATTCATAGTGTACAAAATTTAGCCGTTGATCAATTTCACGTTCAATCAATTTGGCATTGATTTCGTCGACCATTTTTCGAACGGCCGCATCCTCATCATTTGCCGCATTTTCATCGTTGAAATCTATTTTTTTTAGAGAAAAAAAGCAAATCGTTAAAATGTTATAGGAAAATATTTGTGTTCCCTTTCGGTCGACGTACATTTAGTTTTTACCGCTTTCATGATATCCAAATACTGATTTGGAGTCATCACACTGAATCGGGCACAGGCCTGCAAAAAGGCTTGATGACCCACTGTAAAATTATCGACCATGATATTGTGTCCAACTGCAAAAATAATCTGAAGAAAAATGGTAATTTTTCGCCGATTTCAAGAGGAAAATGATGACCGAAGTAGTAGGAAAATGGGGATTCGTCAGCAACTCTTGCGTCAACCGCATGGTTGACGCAAGGCTGACGCAAGGGTCCTTGTGTCATCCATGCGATTCACAAATATGCACTACACCAATTTTCGGTTGCATACACAAATATGATTTAACGATATTTTTGAAACCAATTCACATACAATGAAACAGCGTCAATATATGCAGTGAATACATTCGTTGAGTTTTGACAGTTGGGCTAATCGACTCAATCAATTTGGGATACGTTCGGGCTAAGGTTATGTGTGCGTTTCGTTTTTCGTCTTGTGAATGAAATATAAAATTCAATGAACCAATTGCATTGTACACAAATTAAATAATATGCTGACATTTTATGCATTCCACAGAGAATACGGATTTTCAATGGAAATTATGCTGGCAATTTACTTTCTTTGTACGTAGGAAAATAGAATTGAAATACTGTTGATGTTTTGTTTATTACTAATCGTGGCGCTGGTACTTCCAAATTGCCCGATTCGTTCCTATGCTCTGAATTTATTGACGTTTGTTTGTGATCATATTGTCAAAAAGGTTTCTTTGTTTTGATAGGAACATATTTATTATTTCGAATCTATTCAATCATTTGATCGAAAAATTAAGCTTTAAAAAAGGTTCAAGCATCTGAAAACAAACGGCATAAGTGTACGGAAATTAATATAAATTAGCAAAATTATTTTGTTATATTGTAATGTTTTCCTTCTGTTGTTTATAGTTCGAAATGGACGAAAAAAAAATTGATTGAATCCAAATTGATGGCGAATCATTCGGAATATGAACAAATTATGGCTTCACAAAATCCATACAAATATGGGGCTAAAGGATGGATCGCATGGCAAATGGAGCAATCCCGAAAGTGCCGCGAAAATTTTGCGGCCCAAGTCGCATTGACAAATGAGCTGTTCAAAGGCGAGGGAAATGTCCTAACGGAAGAGCAAATGAATATAATGCTAGCTCCAGCTCGCAAAAGAATAGCTGAAGAACGTGAAAAAATCGAACAGTTCAAGAAGCAACACTTCAGTGAGAATGATTTTTTTTTGCTATATGTTATTTAGGTTCAATTCCAAATGTTTTTCTTTTCAGATAAGGTTACTGCAAGTAATAACAATCAGGTTGACAAGGAAGCCAAGCAACCAGTTGAAAACTATAACACAAAATGATGACACCGCAATTCAGAGCATATACTGAGCATAGATATATATCCGGGATATTTTGTGAGTATCCGATATTTATCGCAGCCAGAAATTAATAATGTCACATTATAATGGAGTGAAAACAATAGAAGTGATTGTTATAGGTCTAAGTATAAAACCATTTACATTACTACAATCACTATAACAATAACATCTATTGTTTTTACTCTATTTCAAAGTCTGGCTCCAATGAATATCGGATACTGACAAAATATCCAGGATATATATCTATGCTTAGTATATGCTCTGTCGCAATTTAAATAATGCAAATGCATGAAACAATCGGATTTATTTGATCATTTGTAAAAATTCGGTACATGCAAATAAAAACAGTGTTGTTGTTATTGTTTTTTCGGTTTTTTATCCAAATGACATTCAATTGAATGAATCACTGCAATGTTTTTGAGCTGTTGATCTATTGTAGGTATGTGATTGGCTGTGAAAAGGTGAAAAATAATAAAAATTTGAACATTAAATAGAAACATTCTTTGAAAAACATACATTATGGGTTACAGCAAGCCACTGAAGTGCACGAAGCTCTGCCAATTTTTGCAATTAAATCCAATAAATCGGGCTTACGAAATTCAATTTTTCGGTATCGTTTCGTTGTTCTGCATCGGTCATCACCGATGTCCTCCTCAAGGCACTTCAAAAATTGCTCCGACTCGTTTACCAATTGATCGATAGTACTTTTCAAAAAAGTCCTATCAGCTACCCACGAACATGCACATTCCGGTCGCATGTCGCCCATTCCACACATCGCAAAAACCAAACATTCGACGTGCAATATGAATCCACAGTGTGGACAATTGAAAGTGTGATTCAATGCTCGCAGCGAATCAGTTTCGGCCCGACATGGGCAATACATGAAGATCTCTAATACAGTAGCTTTTTTATATGAAATCTGTCACACTAACGCCCTCACTCTATCTTTTGGCGAACTAAACAGAATAAAGTTTAATATAAAAGTAAAGTCTCCATCAGGATATTTTATACAGCCGGTGTCAAGATCAATAAAACTGTTAATAGAATCTGCCATTTTTACGCAATTTTGCGATGTGATTGCCAGATTAAGAATATAAATAAAATAAATGAACGGAATAAACGAACTTAACAGAACAGAATAATTCGCACGAGTGTATGACAAGTATGTAAGAGAACAATAACATTACGTTTTGTATCTATCTGTCAAATGTCACACTCACACTTATGAGTTTACGTATGGAGATTTTAACAAAATCATTTCTACAAGATCTACACACTCTACACCCGAGGCTTTTTAAGTTAAATTAAAACGCATATAAATTTATGTTTTTTTTAAATAGAAATTATCTAATGCTAATTGTGCTAACTTCACTTTCAAAACAAAAAAATTAAACAATTTATTAAATTATTTTTCAACAATTTTTGGAATAACATATGCGCTCATTCTCAAACTTGTGAAATAATATCCCATTCTATATATAGATGGCACTGTCTATACGAAGTTCGGCAAACAAAGCATTACGCTTATTGAGCGCATTACACCTCTTAATACATGGCAACTTAATTACTATTATAATTAAATAATAAACTTTAAACGACTTTGAAGCTGTGTAGCGTAGTGGTTGTATTTTAAAACCGTATAAATCTCGCAAAACCTTATCAAAACCATTCAACCAAAATAAAAATTGAAATAATTTGAAAAATATTAAGAGAATGGATTGGTTTCTGTTTTCAATTAAAATTTTCATCATCTTTATTTACAGAAAACTTGAGAAAACATTTTTTTCCCTATTAATGGTTAAATTTAGCTGTAAATTATTTTAATTTTTCTTCGAAAAATTTATTGATTTTGAGCCAATTAAATAATTTGCCGACGATTATCGATCAAGATTTGAAAACCAATCCCAAATTCTAACATTTCCATATACCAAAGAAAAAACCAACAACAACAAATAGAATCGAAAACACTAAGAGCACAAACTGGGTACATTACACAGAATTTGTTTTCTTTTAAAATGAATTGAGCATCTAGCCATTCGGAATGTTCGCAGTGCTTCAACTCTTTGATTTTCACCTGTTATCCTCTTTCCAAAGCCCGACTCCATTACCAAATCATAGACTATTTTCCAGTAAAAACATTAAAATCGGAAACAAAAAGGTGAAGCAATTACTTTTCTCTAGGTCGATTCATAGCAATTGTTCATAAACTTTCACTCAAAACGCCTGAATGTATACAATGTCAAAAGTTAGCCAAATAAATATGAGCACACAGAAAGTCTATTATTTATCGTAATTGTACTCAAAATATTATCCAGCAGACTCAGCAGTCGAACAGCTGATGGAATTATCGGTCAATGATCTGATGAAATCAATGAGAATGCAAGAGTTCCATACCAAAAGACAATAAATCATGACCATGATCCATGCCATGATCGATTCAAATTCTCAGTATATTTTGATGAAAAACGTTATAAAATTACACTGTAATGAGGATAAATAAAAAACACTTCTTTGGAAGTTCTCACTGTGACGCAATACTGCACATCAAATCTGAAAATGATCTGATATAAATTTTCAGTGACGCTTGCAATCAAATACACAAACAATTTTTATATTGCGTTGCCTAAAAAATAGTAAAAATGGAAAATGTCGAAGCGCAACCGTCCAATACTACAATTGAAGATGTGCCTAGTGTTAATAGGCGAATAAACACATAATCTATTGTAAACAACGGACATATTGATATTGAAATATTTCTAAATGATGCATTTCGTATATATCACTCGGAACTTACGAAAGATATTGAAAATTTTATTAACGTGAAATCAATGACTGTATTCGTAGCAGAGTTCGAAAAAAAAATTGTAAACACAGATGAAAATAATGATTCTTACGATGATGATGATACTGGCGGTAATCGTAGTGAGTTAACGGTGAAAGAGACTATATATCTCTCAACGCCAACGCGAAAGCTTGATTTAAACGTAAACCTACATAAACATTTTCGAAAACAAATCGTTCAAAAAATAGTGGAAAGTGTAGAACAAGTTACATTCCGCGGTTCTGGATTTACGCTCGCCTGCATAATCGAGTTGAATGTTCACGTTAACTTATACAACCCATTACAAGGTTCATCGTATATACAAACTCCCAAAAAGCTACGATATAAAAATGCGATTATTAACGTACAAAACCAACTTGACGAAATGTGCTTCAAATGGGCTATTTTATCCGCCTTACACCCAGTAGCAAATGATCCAGAGCGAGTTCGTCATTATTATCAACATGAAGGATGGCACTTTCAAAAATAGAAAGGGTTTTGTTCTAGTGGCGCCATCTATGTGTTAGTCCCGGGACTTATCAGGCGACGTAGTACTGTTTGATAAATTTAATGTTTAAATCAACTTAAAGGCATTTCGATATCACTTACAAGTAAAACAATTACATTCGGCATTTTGTCCCATTGATAATATAAATTCAATCGTCAAATGTTTGGTTATATTTTTCCAACTCTTATCATTGTGTTGTTTGACGTGCAACTTTGACATTTGTCTGATATTTTTCACATCGTGGAATTTTTCACATCATTACGCAATAAATAGTTTTATTAAGAAATTCTCTAACAATATTTTCTATAAAAAGATATAAACAATGAATTATTTAAGCTGTCCATCAATAGTTTTGCGACGACCAGTTAAATATAAAATTGTTGGGAAAATTGGCCAGCTATATGAAGTACTATTTGCATGTGCCAGAAAAAAAAG